AATACTAATTTTAAAACAAAATTTCAAAAAATAAAAAAAGATAAATCAAATCAAAATGATTCAGTCTTGACTGATGCAGAAAAAAATATCCAATTGTTTAAATATTTATATACTATATATTTAGATAGTCAAATAAAATATATATTTATCAGTTTTTATTATATTAATTAAATTAGATATTATTTTATTTGATATAAAAAAAAACAAAAAACAAAAAATTTTTATTTTATTTTTTTATTTATTATAAGAAAGACTAAATAAAAAAATAAAGAAAAAATTAATATTAAAAAAATAAATAAAAAAAATGTAAAATTAAGAAAAAACTAATAATATAAAACTTTTATAATAAGAACTTAAAAAAATATTAATAAAATTTAATTCACTTAATTAAATAAAAAAAATTAATTTATATTTGTAAAAATAAACTAATCTATAAAAAAAGTTTTTTTTTAATTTTGTTAATTATGTAAGTATTATATAATATAATATAATATGAGCTAATTAGAAACTAAAATTAAAAATTATATGAAATAATTTATTTTATTTTATTTTATTATTTCATTATAAATTGTATTAGATACATAATAATAATACTTATTTTTTAATTGCAAATTCTGTTATTTTTCTAGTAATTCCTTTCTATAAAAATTCATATATCATCATAATTTTTATGCATATTTTTTGAATTATAATTAAAAGAACTAAATCTAATATTTTAGAAATAACTTATTATAATTCAACCTATGTATAATTTATAATATTCTTATATATTTCTTTGCTATATCTTAATATATTTTATATAATTCAATTTATAATAATATTTAAAGAATTATTCTTATAAATTCATTATCACATATTTTTTTCAATTTCAGTTTTTATAATAAATTTTAGATAAATTTAACTTTATCAATATTAAAGATATTAAAATTCTAATCTAAGATTTTTAAAGCACAAGTTATAATTTATTTATTTTATGAATTAAATTTTCAATTATATATATAATAAAATATTTTATTGCATTTTAAATTTGTTTTATTTTTACTATATTAAAATTCTTATTATAAAAGTTCTATACTATATTAAAAAAAATTACATTTTCATGATCATATTTTATATTTCTTTAAATTTCAGCTTATTGTATTTTACAGTTTATTTTGAAATAATAAAAAATTAATTAGAATTACTCTTGTAACTAATTTTTCTGTAAAAATAAAACCTTTTTTTATTACTAATTATAAGGTATAAGTAACATAAAAAAAAGTATATAAATTATTACTATTTTTAAGTAATTTACTAATTTTAATCATATTACTTCTATTATCATAATGATATTTTCATCAAAATTTTTATTAAATTATTTGATTTAAATATTTAATAATTAGTATTACTAATATATAAATATTTCAGTTATTTAATTATTAAAATAATTTCATAAAATTTAAACTAGATATTAACAAATAAGTAATATTCTACTTAACTTTTTAAAGTCTAAAGAATTAAGGTTAAAAAGTAAAAAGTAATTTCTTATTCAAATAAATGAATAATTTCTTATTTATAATACTATAAACTAATAATTCTTTTATTTTTTATCACTTAACAATTTATAATATAAGTCCAATTCCTTTATAAGTTTTTAAAAATTCTCATAATTTTAAATATTTAATAGTTGATTATCTTTTACAATAACTTTAACAAATTTTTTATTTAATTAATTATTTTATATAAGATTATTAGTTATTATATTAGCCATAAATTGAGTTATTTTAATATTTTAAGATTTTTATTTAATTTGTAAATAATTAAAATTGCATATTATATAATGTTTTATTAAATAATTAATAAATTTTTAGTATATTCATTAGTACTTATTATATAATTATAAAATTATTCAACTTAATAATCAAAAATTAAAATAGAAAATTTAATATGTATTTTATATTTTTCTGAAAGTGGCAATTTATTTAAAAAATTCTAAATAAACCTTTAATCATTATTAATATTAATTTTTGTTTCTATATTATTATCATTTGAACTTATAAATTTTTTTAATATTACTTTAAATCTTATAAATACTTCTTATTTATTTTATTTTATTTTAAAAAATACATTTTATTTCTTTAATTTAAACATGTTTTATTTCTCTTAATAAAATAAATTTTGTTTTTCTTATAAGATATATTCTTTTTTGATTAACTCTAGTTATCGCTATTTTTGCATAATTAAGGCTTGTAATTCATATTTTATATATATTATTAATAAGAAGAATATGTAAAAAATATAAATAAAAAAATATAAATTACTTTTTTTTATAAATATAATGCATGTATAATATAAATAATCTAGATAAATTTAAATACTATTTACTGTATTTTGAATAATATTTAAATATTTGCTAGATAATTTAGATAATATTATATCTATTATTTATTTAATTTAATAATTGTTAGATATTTATTTTTAATAAATAATAAACTTTAATCTTTGTCTTATCATTATATATTGAAGTAATAAAATTTTTAGCTAATTTGATCAAAATCATTTTAAAATTGAAAGTTAATTCATTTTATAGTTTTTTTCGTTTGTTTAATTTTATTTTTTCATTTCATCTTGTTCACTTAATTTTATTTTATAGTTTTATTTCAGTTTCTTAATTTCATTTTTTCATTTTATTTAGTTTTTTTAATTTCATTTTTCATCTTGTTTAGTTTTTTTTTCATTTCATCTTTATTTTTTCTTTTATTTTATTTTTATTTTATTTTTTATTTATTTTATTTTTATTTTATTTTTATTTTATTTTATTTTTATTTTATTTAAAAAAATGATAAATTAAAATTTTTTTTAAAAATAATTTTAAGTAAATTAATAAAATTGTCATATAATGATTAACAAATTGCATATACAAAATAATGTGAAAATATTTCTGTAAAAATTATATCATAGTAAAATTATATTTGTGTAATAAAATTAGTAATCATCTATTATAACGAATTATTCATTATACATACTGAATAATTCATTATAATATTAATAAAGATTCTTATAATAAAGGCCTAACTGGTTAGATCAGCAATTTCGTTATATTAAGGTGTGACTGTATCTTCATTTTATTTACAGTTAAATCTTCTACAAACTCTTTATATATTCTATAAATTTTAAACTTTTTAATATTACCAAGAAACATATCACAAGTATCTATAAATTATTTTCTTATTGTTCATATTGTATATATTGGTATAGAATTTTTCAATTCACTTCAGATTTTATAAATTTTTTTTAAAAGCTATAGATTTATTAACGCTTAGATTTATTTTCTAAATAAAGGTATATTTATTATATTTCTATGATAGTAAGTATATATTCCTATCTTAAATACAAATGCTTTTTCTAACTTTTGTAAATATGTACTTTTAGTTTTAAAGAATTAATCATTTTTTAATTTTTTTTATAAAAAAATGCAATATTGGCTATTTTACTTACATTCTCTTATCAGAACAATATTGATTAATATTTATTATTTTTTAATAATTTGCGAATTTCAAAGTCTTGATTAACTCTTTATATTTAGTTATAATAATCAGGTTTCTAAATGTAACAGGTAAAACAATCTTTAATTTATCTACATTACTTTCATTTACTATAGGTATCATTGAATTATTTTTTTTTGTTTGTACTATTTTTTTTAATAAATATTCTGCATATTTTTAAAGATCGTTAGTAAATTTGATTAAAGGTGGCTTTAAAAAATCAAAGCATGAATGATTGATCTAGGATATCTCAAGATAAGCTGATAAATTTTGACTATAAAAATTCAGTTCATCATAAGTAAATAAAAAATAGCTTTTCTTTTCTTTTACTGAATCAAACTGACTAACAAATTAAAAGAATTTTACTGGGATTGTATATATATCATTAAATGTTTTATATCTACATTTATCAATATACCATAATGCGTTTGATAATTCTTTAATCAATTTCTTTCCTATAGGTATAATATCATAAGTCTAACCACTTTTATATGAAGATATATAAAAAAGAATATCTAATTTTAATATGATTTTGATGTCTTGATAATTGTTAAAGGAAATTTCCTTTGCTATATATCCAATCAAATTCATATGTTTTCATATAAAATTTTTTGACTAAATAAAAAAAAAGTCTGATCATTAACCTTAAAATATCAAATGATTAGGATGAGAACAATTTTTTATTTATATCACTTTATATAGGATTGTAAGATATTAGATTTGTATCATATTTTATATTATTAAATTTACTGATATATATTTGTATATAAATTTCTTATAAGAGTAAAATACTTATATTTTTAATAATATAATTATTAAATAAATTTTTAAAATATGTAATAAATGTTACAATTTATTTTAACTTAAATTTTAAATTATATTTAAAATAAAAATTCTTATTATTTATAAAATATTTTAAAATTATTAAGAATATATAAAAAAATAAAAAATATCATTATTAAGTAAATTATTTTATTAAAAATATATTTTTATTTACAATAAATTTAAAAATTAATCTAATAAATTATTTTTAAATATAATATATTATATTTAAAGTATTACATATAATAAAATTTAAAGTAATAAAATAAATATTTATTAATTTATAATTAAATTTAATATATTTTAAAAAAAGTATTATATAATTCAAATAACTAATTCTTATTATTTTTTTTAATTAATTTTATCTTATAAAATTTTTTAAATATTTAATTTCTTTATTTAATACTTAATAAATAAATAAAATAATAAACAAATTTATTATTATTTTATTTAATTATAATAATTATATTTTATTATTTAGAATAGAAATTATTAATTTTTTTTTTTCTAAAAAAATATCAATTAATTTTTATTAAAACTTTAATATAAAAAATCAAAATTTAATGAATTATTTAACAAAATAGTTTTTGTTAAATTATTTTAACAGATTCAAATATAATACTGGTAATATATATATGGCTATTATTAAAATATCTAATCTTTTACGGTATCCTTTATTTCTTTCTCATCTATTACTTAAAATTAATACAATATAAATTAGTTAAATTCTTAAAAATTCAAATAAACAAAAATTTAAAATTAACGAAATACCTTTTGAATTGATTCTAAGTTTAGAAAAATCAATAGTTACAGATTCTATTATAATTGAAAAAAAAATTGTTAATTTACAATTTAAAATTTTAAATAACAAAGTAAAAATAATAAATGTACCGGAATCTTCAATTTCAGATGGATTGTCATTATTGTCATCATTAGCAATTTTGGGTGCTGAAAGATTTTTAAAATCCAAAAACCTGCTAGTATAATATGCCCGGGGATGTGTAGTGAATGAAAGATCATCATCAGAACTTGTTGTAGATCGAAGCTTGTTCATCTCATCTGCTTCTTCGAATTGCTTGTTAATTAATGAATGTTTATCATTACAATTCCTTTCTAAATTATCTAATGAATCACACAATTCATTAGCATTAGGACGGTTCGAAGGATTTGCGTCCCAACACCGTTTAATAACATCAAAAATTAGTTGCGGAATCTTATAATCAGACTTTGGTCTCAATCCTTGACAAATTTTTAAAGCTAACGATTCATCATGAGCCATATCATAATAAGGAGGCAATCCTGTAAGTATTTCATATGCTACGATTCCGAATCCATAAATGTCGCTTGCTTGAGTATACTCTTTCTCACTCAAGACTTCAGGGGCTATATAAGGTAACACTCCGTATACTTGCTTTTTGTCAATTTGTGCAGCTGGTTGACATAACCTCAAACCACCAATAAGGAATTCATTCCAATAATGAACCAATATGTTGCCACTATGAAAGTTACGATGAATTAATCCATAAGCATGAATATTCTCAAGACCTTTTGCAATACTACTTAAAGCATTCAATTTATTAGTCCAATTCATCGAGTTAAACTTTTTATTCAATCTTTGTCTCAGATTACCATTTTCTGCATACCGCAATACAATCATGAAGCTATTTGTTTTTGGGTCCTTAGTAATACCATAACAGTGAATTACGTGATCTGAATCATTCATGATATGATGAGAACTGACCTAAAAAAAAAAAATTTGTATTGATGAATAATAGTCATTTCAATTAAACTTTTAGGAAAATAAAAAGCAATTTACCTCATTTAAAAATTCATCCGTAATATTTTCTAAACCATGTAAACATTTTAAAGCGACTGTGATATCGTGTTTGTTTCTTTTCCATTTTTTATATTTAGTATCCCAACCCCATATATACCCATCTTTCCAAAATGCCTTATAAGTGATTCCAGAACCTCCTTTGGATAAATGTTCAATGCTTTCAAATCTATCATATTCGATCCATTCAATCACATTTTTGTAACCCGTTGCAAAGAGTTGTGATTTTTGAACAAGGCCGTTGATGTCGTTATTTCCACTGTTCCAATTTTTGAAATTTTGCTGAAAATGTTTAGCGTTACATGATTGACACCAATTGAAATGAGTTTTTGGTTGGTTGCATTCCTTACATAAGCCATACTTTTTATAACGTGCTTTTAAACCTTCATTTAAGATTAGTTTATCAATTAACGTTGATTGTTCAACAGTTAAACTAAAATATTCAAAATTTTTTATTTGTCCGATTGTATCATTGCTAAGGTGCAAACTTTCTTCCATCTTTGAATATATTTCTTTTTTTTTGTTTTTTTAATTCAAAATCGTATAGAGACGTATAATTTTGTTTGCGAAAAAAAAAAAAAAAAAAGGTCGGCTGGGAAAATATTCCCCGATTTATATTAGTTTTTATCAACTTTTTCTATTGGTTCTTGAAATGATTTTCTGATCGACAATTAACTAGATCATCATCAAACCAAATATTTGTATGCACTCAACATTGTAATTTTAATAAGGTACGTGAATCTTCTAAAAAAAGCAACGGTATCTCCGACATCGTTGTTATCTCGTACAGGATTATTAAATGATTTGCATAAAGTTTGTAACGCAGGAATATTAGAATTATATCATGACGGGATTCTTTTTTTAAGGAAGTTCTCAATAAATGTAAGGATTCTTTCCTGCTATTACCATATTTCACAATTTAATTAAAATTTTAAAATGATTTAATTAATAAATCTTAATGATGCAAAATTTTTGATTTTGTAATATAATTGATGTGACTACTGCGGGAGAAAATCAAGTTGAAATAAATATAAAAAATGAGTATTGACCGACCGAAAAATATTCCTAGGGAACTAACGTTGATAACTTACTAAATGAGTTTATATTTAGCAAATAATGTCATAAACTTACGGGATTTTTTTTTTTTGTTAGCCTAAAAAGTAAAGGTTAAAAAATGCTTAGTGATAAAATAAATCTAACTAAAAAAAATTAGTTATTTGAAATATCAAATATCGAAGAGAATCAATCCCACATGATTTTCGTTAAATCTTTTTTTGTCCGGCTCAGTTATTTCATGTTTGCTGGTCTCGACCTAAAAATATGATATGATTACCCTCGTCATTATCATTTCGTCAGTTTCTATTTCTTCTATTGAAAATGACAACACATTTAGTGTCAAAATGGAAATCCTTTAATTGAAGCGAGTATCTTCATTATTCAAATAATAAATTCAAATAAATAAAAATCATTATCTAGCACGGACTACTTATATGGTTACACAACGTTTTTGATAGTCGTACAAATGAATGTAAATGATGAAAAATTTGTCTACAGGCATTGAACAAAATAAGCAAGAAGGAAAATATGGTTTAATGATTTTGATGAATAAATCAATAAACTTTTTCAAAGAATAATTTATTATTCACATTTTAATATAAGTTATTAGCCTTATTTGAAATAATTTCCTCATTAACGTTAACAATTTCTTTAAATATCTTGACACTTATTCTAATTTTGGAATTCGTTAAAATAATTGATGTCTTCACATTTTAATTTGTAATCACACGTTCTTTTTAATATAGAATAATGTTTTAGAAAAATCATAATTATTATTTTCTGTAGATATTCCTTTACCTAACTTTTAAAAACTTTTATTTTGAGTTTGACTTTAAAAATTCAGATACAAAACTTCTTTTTTTTTCGTGTTACAGAAGTCACATCTCCATTTCAGCCTTTTGGAAGATTATTTTATTTAATTTTGTATCTTCAATGATTATTGGATAAAAAGACAGCTAAGAGAGGATTTATACATAAATAAAAATAGTGAAAATTAAATTTTCGTTTGAATTTTTTTCATCAATGAATAAATTTTTACCACGTTAAAATAAAATGGATATTAATTAAAAAAAAAAAAAATAATGAAATGAAAAAGCATAATATGTAATCGCATGAATCATTTGTCACAGTCGTTTTCCGTCAACAAGGTTAGCTTTCAACTCTACCGTAAAAATTCTTAAATTCTTTCGTCATTGTACAAGGTATATTGCTATCTTTCTACTGATCTGCTTTATGTTACTTTAAAACAATTTGATACAACATCTTAGGCGTCGGCCATAAAATCGCCTGATAATACATTTATTTCTCAAATGCTGTCTTGCATCCAACTTTTATTTTTTTTTAAAAAAAAAAGTAAGTGGATCATATTTTATGACATCGCGCGTATAATATTTTATCATAAATTTATTTTGAGAAAATAAACTTTTGTGATGTTGTGTTACGACAGTTAGAACAAGATGATAGATAGATGGCGTTAGATTTATAAGTTGAGATAAAGTTCTGGCTGTAATTTTTTTTTTAATTGAAGATTAGATTTTTTAACATATAAAAATGGTGCATTCAAATATTTTATAAATGAATTGCTACCAATTTTCTTTTAAAGTTTGCAGCAATACCCATAAAGCAAATATATTTTCGCACCATTCATTCCCCATGTATTTATCAAGGCTCTTTCATCCAAGTCCTACATGAGAATACTAGTAGTATATTATATTCATGCTCCAACAATCGATTCAAATAATCGATTTGTAAAATATCAAATAAAGTAAATTAATTGAAAGGGTGCAATTCCTTTGAGACCCATGATTTGTATTAACACTTCCTTCATTTAACTCTGGTACATTGATTGGGACGTGTTATACAAATAGTATAAATTCAAATATATATATTTTTTTTTGATGGAATAATATGATATTTATCGAAGAAAATTCCTAAATTTGTCTATATGAAATTTTAAAAATCACATAATAAAATAAGCTTTACGATTTAAATTAAAATATTTATATGTTACACAAGCTGAAAAAATGATGAATACACTTATATTGTAAACAACTATTTCTATTTTAGACCACGAACGTTTAAGCTAATTTTTTTCAAATTTCAAACTATTGTTCTTGTGATTAATTTGAGAGATATTCAAGTTTGAACTGTCATAACGAAAGAAGTTTCAATTTTTGTATAAAAAAAAAATTTTTAAAAAACTCTCACTACTCTTTTCTCGATCATATAAAGTTAAATTTGAAATTCATTGATTAGTTATTATTTGGATCAAATGCATTTTCAATATCATCAACTATTCCAAGATAATGCCGAATCATTCATATATAGAGGATACTTCAAGTAAATTACATTTAAACTTTTAACTTATGATTACGCTACTTTGAATGATATTTTCGTATGATTAAAAGTATTAAACCTAATTATTATAAATCTTTGCCAGTTTTACAAACTGTATTGGATACGATTCCACCCGTTAATTTACAATGAGGTACGACCATCCACGAAATAAAAAGCCCAAACATTTCTGCAAATTGAACATAGCCAGAGTTGGAAAGTCAACTTGTCATTGATTTGTTCACAAAGCAACGAAAAGTTTCTATTTAATATTTATATCGTTCGGATGATTAACTTGTTTTTTAGTAATTTCTTAGGCGTTAAAGGTTGTACTTACACCGACTCATCTACTATTTAAGAGGCAACTAGTACTTCATGATGACAGAGTCGGACCCATAGCTCAATTTACCAACTTGTTTTTGATTTTAATTTCAAAAGAGATTTAATATGTATTTAATTTACCTTTATTACAATGATGCCACACACGAACATTTGAACAAATATATTATGTATAAAATCCAATGATTATATACGTGAAATTTTTTATTTCATTAATTACTAAAATAGGAAGAGGTGTAGTGCGTGTATGATTTAAAGCATTTATTCGAAAATACATAATAAATTGCTCCAGAATACAGAATACATTCTATTTTTTACCTTCAAGGTATTTTCTGCTGAATAACGATGGACTAATGACCTTTGAAGATTAACTTTGGAGGTTGTTATTTGGGATTTTAAGGGCTTAATTTTAACATGCCTGTGGTTTTTTTGGTTTTACTGTATTAGTTTTCCTTCCTTAATAATACTTACTGGTAACCATAAACATCAAGCTTTATTTCATGTTGACTGTGGAATTTTTTTTTTTTTGATAATATAAAAGAAAAAAATTTTTTAACCTGAATAAGGTTTGCCTCTTCTACGTAGTAGTGTCCTGGAGTAACAGTTATTGGTCGATTTCTGGCTAAGTGCAAGAATATTGTGATCCTAACTTAATAATCGAGAATTTTCGTTAGTTGACTTTAACATTGAGTTTTCTTTAAATAAATAAAAAAATCATAATTATTTGCGCGCCGGTTGAGATTGTGGAAAACAACTTAATTTGAAACTACAAAGATCTCCGGGGTAGCCATTGTTGGTCCAGCGACTCAAACAGAATATTGTCCATTCGGCGGTGGGAAGGATTCTTGAATCACAAATCAAAAAGGATGAATAATCCATTAAAGTATAATGACTTGGATTATTAGCTCCCATAAAGTTTATTTATTGCCAAGTCAATTTTATGCCAAAGATAATAAAAACTTTTCACTTCAATACCTTAATGTGTTTATTCGCATAATCGAAAACTAAACAATTTTGAAAGCATTCAATGTATGTATTGGTTTCCAGTTAACTGCTAATTCATCAATAATAATTACTGGATTTATAATATGACCAAAATAAATTTGGAAATATTTATTTCCGCGTGGTGGTATTGCTTGTTTTTATCCTCCGAAGGTTTTTTTATATTTTGAAAGTTATCACTGATAACTGCGCAGTTATCGGAACCCAATCAAAAGAGAAGTGGTATTCTACAAATTATAACTTAACATGTTGCTCATGTGCAAGCATGCTTTAAGGAATAGTTGTCTAAGCAAGAAAGATATAATAAATAATTAAGCAAACCTTCGATAATCTCTTCATATCAATACAATACGAATTGATAGTGCACAAAAAAAAATGTGTTGTGCGAAATAATTTCAAAATTTACTTCTAATGGCTGATAGGAAAATTACCTTGTGGCGTAGTAAAAATTTCGAGTGTTATTTACTTCTGGTAATAACAGTTCATATTATGAAACTAATAAAACAAGCAAGATAAAGTTTCATAATGCCAACTCAAATTAAACTTATTAATATAAAAATAATTTACATATAATAATTATGATTTGATTACAAAATAAATAAATTACATGATTGATAATGAATCCTGTTAGTGAATCTTTTTAAGAATCTCATCGTCACCGTTATAATAATACTTTAATTCTTTTTCATATAAATTTAATATATATTTGAGATTTTCAAACTTTGAAATAAAGTCCTCGGCGTACAACTCTTTAATACGATATTGTGCAACGTGACTGTAATATCCACGATTTTGCATAGCAGATTTCGAATAATATTTAACGGCTTCTTCATAATTTTTCTCCTTCTCATAAAATTCTCCAAGAAAAGTTTGACCCATAACCAATCCTTTCTTTGCCGTATCTTTTAACATTTGAATCCCTTTCTTTCTTTCATTCTTGTTTACACCTTCTTTTTTATTAACTAAAATTCTTCCAAATTTAGCTTTAGCATATAAATTATTTAATTTTGCGCCTTCACCAAAACATTTTTCTGCTTCATCCTTATCCTCTTTAATTCCATTATTACTATTACTTTCATAAAGCAATCCAAGAAGATATCCGGATTGTCCATCTCCCATTTCCAAAGATTTTTTATACCATTTTATAGCGGTTTTTAAATTTGATGATTTTAATAAATTTTTTAGCTTAAAGGATTCTAATACATGACTATTGTGATACAATATTGCCATATTTCTCATCGCTATCCTCCTATAAATCAATATATTTCTATTCTTCGAGTTCTTTGAGTTTATTATTTCCATAAATAATTTTTCAGCCTTCTTTGGGCTGTAATCAGTTTTTCCAATGGAGTACATAAATCCTAAACATAATTTCGCTTCAAGTGATTTTAACTTTGCAGCTTCTTCGTAAAACCTTCTAGCCTTATTATGATCTTCTTTATTACCTTTCAGGTAAAATCCCGCCAAGGCAATTTTATATGTTACATCTTTTTTTTGTTTTGCTTTTTTTTCCCAATCTTTTAAGGTTTCATCAGTGATTTCATCGTTTTCCTTTTCAAGTTTGTTGATAAATACCTCATAAGTTCCAACTCCTCGCACAGGATCTTCATCTATCAAACATTTAATAGAGTCATCTTGCATCCACTCAGGAAATAAATTATACATTTTACCAGAATATTCTGAACCACCATCAATCTTATCGTGCTTTCCCGTAATGAAAAATATTGAAGCATTTCCTATTTGTGGGGATTGTTTAATTTTCATAAGGACTAAATGCTTGGCTTCCAAGATTTTACTGTTATGTAAATCAATCCTAGCCGTGGATAAAGAAAGTTTTGGAATCGATAACTTTGGATGACCGGCGCTATAGCATTCATAATATCCTAAGAATGCGTTTTCTCTTTGTTTTTGCTTCTCATTTGGAATAAAAGGTTGAACTTTTTCCTTGTTTCGATATAATTTAATGACTGATTGTTTAAATGAAAATTTTTTAACCGTTTCAATGAAATTCTTATTTTTCTTTGGTTTTGATGAATTGATCTCACCATTCTCGGATGTAGAATCTATCGTTTTGGTTTTTATCACTAAAGATGTGGACGTTAAATTTATGCTCGAATAAGATTTGTTTGATATAATAGATTCGACGTATAAACTTAGGATTTCAATATCCTGTGCGTCAAGACTTGAAGAAGAATCAACAGATTTACTATCTAGTTCTATTTGTATTTGAGGAATTTCATCTACGCCCATTTTTTTTTTCTGTCCTTATTATCAAACGATAAGAAATTAAGGAAAAAATTTTAATGTTATGAATATAAAGAAAAGTTTTTTTTTTTTAACTTATAATTTTTTTCGGCACTTTATTAAAAAGGAACACCATCAATCACTTGACCTGTCCTGAAATGAAAGCTTATTTTGAAAATATCCGGACATTGATGATCGTACCTTTGAATGGAAATATAAAAAATAATTTTTATTATTACGAATTGAGTAAAATTTCTAATAAACTGTTTATTTTTACTCCTTTATTTTCCTTTTATGTATGTATGTTCATCCTGTTTTGTATTTAAAATAAATGGTACAGTATATTATGTTTTTGTTACATTGAATTACTTTTATCCGAACTGACGCGCTGATCAATTAAAAAGAGTACGTCATAAATCACTTTCAATAATGTTGTTTAACAAATGCTCCAATTGGTAGGCTCAATTGAAAATTTTCGAGTTGTTTCTAATAACATTTGTTACGGTTCATATGATTTACTATGTTCGTAACTCCGAAACAAATTGCTTGCATTATATTTACTAAGTCTCGTGACAATTTTAATAGTGACCCTGTGCTACAATGAATGTAAAGAAACTAGACTCATTAAAATCACGTGAGTATGATAATTATATGCATGAATAGTCAGCGCCATGCCTAATCAAGAAATATCGATTTTTTTTTTCTTCCAAATTTTTATATCATGTACAAAGATAAAAGTGTAGAAATTCTTGAAAAACCTGGCCTAGAAGTTGCTGGTAAGCATCAAGTTTATCATATTAAGATTATTTGACAATTGTTCCGAGACAACAAAATTATAAATTTTTTGCCATTTTCAGATACCCCCTACATTGAAGGAATTAAATGGTAAAGACATTTTATTTTTATAAAGCCAAGCTTTATTATTCAATAATTAAAAAATATATATTTAATGACGATGAAGATGAAAAACAGATTGTAAGAAGTTATATTTCTTTATTATATAAAAATATTTTTTATATAATTTAATTTTAACTTTTTTATTTTTTTTTTTAAAAAAAAATTTAATACTAGGGAGTAAGTTGGTTTTTATTGTTAAACGTTTTATTAAAATTTTAAACTCAATTCATTTTATTTAAAATTATTAACTCTGATATTATCGTTATAGTTGGTAAGTTATTTTCACCAACTAAATATATTATGTTTTATTACTTACACAATAAAAACATAACCGAATTTTATCATTTAAAAAAATATTTAATAATCTTTAAAACTATAGATGGTAAGTTTATTAAGTTTATCGATTAATTATCCTTTTATTTTATGACATGATAATTCATTATTTAATTATTTTTAAAAAAAAATTTCACAATCGATAATACAACAGAAAGTGAGCTGAATTTAAATTATTTAATTATACTTTTTACCGTAAAATTTAAACTCAACTAACTTTTTTTTATTTAAAAAAATACAGATGGTAAGTTATTTTTATTGATTATAAATAATTACTTTTATTATAATTTAAACTCGAATAAATTTTTTATTAAAAAAACAAAAATTTAATGATTAAATAATACAATAGATGGTAAGTTATTTTTATTGATTGTCAGTATTTAATTATACTTATTACTGTAATTTAAATTCAACTAAAATTTTTATTTAAAAAATAATTAATAATATGATAGATAGTAAGTTTTATTGATTATCAGTATTTAATTATACTTGTAACTATAATTTAAAGTCAACTAAATTTTTTATTTAAATTCAATAGATGGTAAGTTATTTTTATTGATTATCAGTATTTAATTATACTTGTTACTGTAATTTAAAGTCAACTAAATTTTTTATTTA